TCCGATCGCAGCCAGCTTCGCAGCGTCGGACTTCACCCGATAGCGAACACARAAGGAGGAAAGAAAGAAAAATGGGAAAAAGAAAACAGATTAGCCGCGCTCCCTTTTCATTTATATCCTGTCATCCTCGTGCAGGGGCCGTGCTAATCTCCTCTACATCACTCTAATTTTAACAGATGTCCCGAAGGACAGTTCGCCAGTCCCGCAATCAGGACTGTACAAGACCAGTTTCRAAACTGGGCCTGTRTCTCRGCCTCACACAGGTGTACTGGCTACCTTAGGTCGGTTGGTGCAAATGCCGATACCAACTCAGGCCTCRGGCATAGTTACCACCACCCCTGGCCCCTAACAGGCCGACTTTCCGACGGAGCTCGGTTCTAAAGCTACCGGCTAACCCCCGGCTGGTATCGCTCACACGTTGTAGCCTATATCGCACCAGCTGAAGGGTGCAGCTCCCACATGTTCCCCTGCTGGCGGCTTGAGCACGGATGTGGTTGCTTACGGGGTTCCCTATAATACTGTACAGGCTAACTTTGGCGCAGTCACGAGAACAAATTGTAGTCGCACCTAGGCAATTCCGGTCACACCACACACCCCCACGCAACTTCACCGGACCCGAAACACAGGTCATAAACATTCTGCATCACCGACCCCTTTTGCCTCAAGTGCAATTACAACCTCGAGCCCTGACCGCGCCCGGTTCTCAGCAGCAGCGTGACAGAGGACCTTCACTAGTATCCCAAACATGCGAACCCGCCACACGAGGCGCACACCCAAGGTCCTCGGTTGTCGTGTCGGCTACTGAACCCGGCGTCGCGTCCGGGTTAATGAACGCTAGGTCATAACAAAAAAATAATAAATACGACGCTAAAATGATTTACGTAGAAAATGCCGACTCTAATCTGACGTCGCTGACAACAAAACCAATGGGGATAGCCCTGTCGAGCCCCTAACCCTTCGGTCCACTCACACTACTCTGATATTCTTGCACCGTCGCCGCTCAATCTCGATCCCTGAATCTCTTTGATGAAAGACTGAAGCCGTAACCGCTAGTACTAGGCCCAAGGTTGGGTCTAGTGTTAGCGGACACCTATATAAACGAATACAGTGAGACGTGCGAACTTACCGAAACGTTTTAATATCACACCGTTGTCGATGCCATCCTCCGTCCGTACACATAGGCCACCGACAAACGTACCACTCACGATGCGGACCCTACTTTAATAAAAAAAATAAAAATATGACCAACGACTAATTCCAGTTTTCACAGTTATCAAAAGGAAGAGGATAACGTGCGCCTTCAACCTGCGTGCCCACACATTCTCTCTCTTGATTCTACTAACCTTCAGTCTACGCGCCGGCAATTATCACAACGCGCGCGAACAATCCAAAAAAATTCTCATTTAATCAAACTGCCTATCATTTGTAAAAAAAAGGGTGGATACCCTTGTCAGGGTATTCGCACCGACAGGTTACCGGACCATATTAAGCAATGTCTCCGTCACTTCGCCAAATCAGAAAGTTATAAATCCATCCGGAATTCCAAATGCTGACGAGAAAGGAACCAATCCGATTAGCCGATAGACTCAGGTTCGAGGCCTCCATCAATCCATTCCAACCAAAACTTTATGCTGCCAGGATTCCAACCTGGGCCTCCATTGTCCTGACACTAGGACAGCGGGATACTTATCACTATACTACAGCATAAGTCTGAAATGGATTCCTCAATCGTCCTCTCCCCTTTGTCCTAGACAAACGTCGACTTCTCGTTAGGTGTCTCTAGTCTCTACCCTGTAAACAAGGTCATAACCAAGGACGCGGACCCTAACTGAGACCTTTTGAAGACATTCTTGCATCCCTCCAATAAATTTTACAATCAAACATATATATATACACAAATCTCACCTGCAGTTTAGTACAAGAAGGTCAGGTCTCCATCCTGATCCACCATAGTCTGGGTGATCGTGCCAGATCTACGACCCACCGCGTTTGTTATTTTAGCGGTAGTGCCCTCGCAGGTTGCGCCACGATAGGTTTTTTCCTGATAAACATTCAAGACTCGACTCTTATCCCACACCATCCCGCGGCAGGTAAAACCCTTCTGGGTGGCCACACCCCATTAAGTCTTTACCCCTTCTGGTGAGACGTGGGCCCGCTGTTCAGGTTAAGCCGATCAGCAGCCGACACTAGGGGTTGCGCCTTAGCGATGCTAAACTTTACCGTTAGCTTGGTATTGTCATAAATGCCCTAAGATTAGCAAAAGTGTCTGGATGATGTGTCGCAACAATACAGGCCTACTGCGGGACTGCGCAGAGGTCTATCACACATAAAAGATATTTATCAGTCCTTTGTGGGACTACACAGAGAAATACGGCAACCTCTCCACTTTCACAAAACAAAATTGCCGCCAGGTTCACAAGGCCGTGACCTCCTTGCTTGATCAGAGCAAGAAGGTCACCTCTCAGTGACATCTCTCAATGAAGCTTATTATTGCGACTTTCTTGAAAATTTCAATAATGGCCAAACAAAAAATGTGGTCCTTCTCGTCAGGCTTTATCATTCAAAATCAGTCTACCATGCCATTGAATCTATTTACCTCCTTTTCATATGAAGGAGGTCTCTCTCAATGAGTCTCCCAGTCATCCCTTCTTTTTCTAGGATGAACTTCCATGCGACCTTTTAATACATATTCCCTTTCTGAAAATGAGTCTTCAAACAAACAAGAGACTGCCCTTCCCACAAAGGGCGACACTCAAACCAAGAGGCCAACCTATGAGTCCCCTACCACAACTCAACAATAACATTCGGCATGGTAAGCATTCTAGTCTTAAAGACTCATAAAACCCTTAGGGTTCTTACTCTTTCCACAAAAACAGACTGCACTCCCTCTCCTTATGCACGGTCCTATCACCTGCCCGTGGGCAGATTGCACGAGTATACCGAAGAGTAGACAGTTCACATCCATTCACATTTACAAAATACAAAGCATTGAAGATGTTCCTCATACATTTTCATATAAAATCATCATACATTAGGATAAAACCACACATGTGAGAGTGATTGTGAATCTGTGATCGTTATATACAAAGAGTAGTCTCAAATAGTACTCAACTCAAAAACATACTCAAGAATGAGACACCTCATCAAAAAACATATACAATAACCTCGTTTTACGAATTAATCAAAACAACTCAAGTCACCCTCAATATAGTACATGGTCAATCGTACAAGAGAATTACTAACACAACCCAAAATCTCTCTGTCAATGTCAAAAAGACAACCTCAGTACACACGTGCTATCTCACATTGTCCAAATATCGACGGACACCCTATAGTGTAATCCTTCATCCGTACACTCAACGGCATAGGTATCCAAACCTCCTAATAATGCAAAGACAAAAAGAGTCAAATAGAAACATGCGTCTGACCTACGACCCAAGTCCATTCCATCCTCACCAAAACATAACCTAATGGCTGCCCACTCTTAGGCGAACCAGTCCCTACTCACTCATTTCCTCCTGGTTCTGCCTGTACAGCTGATCCCTAACCCCATCGGCAGATCGCTCTACTACCCTACCCTATCTATCATACATCCTTCAACCGCTCTCTGTAACCTTCCCTTCAGCCAAGTTCTTTAAGAACTTAGGACACTGCAAAAGCTCTTGCAGAAAAAACAAGATGAGTCACCTGATCTGCAACCTCTCTTTTTTTTCTTTTTAGATTCTGGCAGCGATTGTGTCTTGCTCGCCTCTCTGGCCACCTCATGACGCTAGGGGACATCCATAGGCTTTTCTGGTCCTGTCTCGAACTCCGGAGTATTAGGCCCTGGTCGTATCTCAATCCCCTCTGACGTATACTCAGATGTATCCAACCTCTGGGGCCTGCCCTCGATGACGTCCTCTATCGCAATCCCTATCTCTCTCTTAGAAGGCTCCTCCATCCTCTGCTCAGGTGAAAATAAACTCGCCTTCTCCTACATAGTGTGAACCGCCTTGAGAAGCACATCCATAGACCCCTCTGCTGAGCCCTGGACTGGCTCACTGTTGGCCGTCTGCAGCCCCCCTCCAACTGATAATGTCGTAGCTGCCATCGTGGGTTCTACAACTGCCATGGGCAGTGTGGCGAGTTCAGTAGGGGCTCTAAACTCGAAGGCCTCTCTCTCTGCCTCCCTCTTGGCTTTTGCCTCCTCAGGCTCCAAGATGGCTCTTCCCATGGACGACCCCTTGGGGGAGTTCAACTGCGGATGACTGCCTTGATAAGCCATGCCCTGTCTCTCTCTGCTCTCCACGCCGGCTTCTCTCTGCCCTATCCACCATCTTGGCTAACTCTTCTCTCTCAGCCGTATCACCCTCATCTCGAGGTTGTTGCCTCAAGTCTCGGATGGTGGCGACTTGACTAGCCACCAATGCCCTGAGCTCTCGGACCTCAACCTCAACTGCCTCCAGACGTACTCCATGGCTCACTTCCTTCATCTTCTTTCTGGCCAGGTCATCTTCCAACATCAGATATCTATCAAAGGATGTCTTGGCCAGGAAGCGGATCTTTCGGTCCAAGTACTCATCCGCCTTCCTCGAAGTTCCAACTTCTGCCTTTTCCGGAGCCGTCAATCCCTCGCCATGCTGGTCAACGAACTCGTCCCACATCTGCTTGATTTCGTATGGCTTAGGTGGTGGTGGCTGATCTGGGAGCGCTCTTGCCTCCTCTAACCTCTGTCTTTCCTGCCAGATTTCATCCAAACGTCTCCCAACTCTGGTTCGTTTCTCTTCAGTTGTCTCCCCTGTTGGTACTCTCTCCCTCGTGCGATGGTCGGCTCTCCCTGGAACCTCAGTTCCCATCTCTCTCTCTGCCTGGCGTGGCTCCTGGGGTGTATGTCAATCATAGCCAGGGCCTCTCTCCTCCGGTCAGCTCTCCCCCTCTCCATCTCCATCCTCACTCCTGACGAAGGGATCGCCTCTGGTGATGGTAGCGGGATCTCCTCTTGCCGCGATTCCTTCCCTTCACCGTGTGCGCCTTCTGGCGTATTCCCCAGTCTCAATCCCACGGCCGACGTTTGAGGGGGAGTATCCTCCTCAACCTCTATCACCTCCTCTACAGCATGTCCCCTCTCAGTACTCGACCTCGCTCAGGGTCCTGGACCTCCTCTCGTGGCACCTCCCCTGCTGTCTCGTCACGCCCCTCGCTCATCGGCGGTACTCTCCACTGTGAGACATCTAAATGTGCCTCCAACTCCTGCAGCAGCGCTCCAGATGCTGGCATATCCTCCCGTGTGTGCTGTGGAGATTCTCCCAGCCCTCCCTCAGTAAAGCGATGGAACTCCACCGGCCCCAATCCGCACTCAGGGTATGCCCCTCGCCCCTCAGTCTCGAGGACCAACTCCTCCTCTCGCCTGGCGAGTGCTTTCCGTCCCCCTCGAGATGGCCTGGCCTTTCTGGACTCAGGGTCCCTCTGCCTTTTGCTCCTCAGGCGTCTCTCGACTCTAGGCTGAGGTGGCTCTGGTCGTCGAAATGCCTCTCTCAAAGGTGCCCTGTAACTCTCCCAGTCCCGAGCCATATCTCTGATCTGCCTAGCCAAGGGTCTCTCTGCCTTTCTGGTCCATAGGGGTAACGTCCTCGCCCACTCATCCCTCAATATGCCTTGATCGTGCATGAACTTCTCGAAGGCGGGGATGAAATCCTCCACATTCCCGATCTCTAGGCGGATCGATCTGCCGCCAGGTCCTACAGGCGATGGTCGTAACTCCTGCATCCTCGCCTCCACCTCTGGCCACGTCCTCGCCTCCTTACGAATCTGTGCGATGGCCTCGGTGAACCTCCCAGCTCCTCCCAACCACTCAATCGTCTGATCCATGGTCCAACCCATACGCTCGGCATACCCCCGAAAATCGTCCAGGAATAGCTCTATATCCCCATCATCATACACGGGCGTACTCTCTCGGTAGCGAGACCCATGCCGCTCATAACCTCATGCCGCTCCCAACGGCCTCCGTGGCGGTCGTGTCCCCCTCCCTCCTCTTGGCATGACTGTCTTCGCAAAGTCAGACCTGCACAACAGGCGAAGGAGACAACAGACACACATTGGGGTAAGTAAACATGTGGTAAATTATGGCAAGTTCATGTCAAACCAAACACATACATCATGCACCCCTTATCCAATCTACACATCCCATCATCCTACTCTAAGGGCGTTGGATTGTCTATCTCACCTCTTCTCTTGCCACAAACTTCTTCAGTCTCGTTCCTGACACCCAATCCTTTCATTCTGTCTCATCTAGCTCTTCAATTTGGTATGCGCTGAAATCTCCACATCGCACAATTCGATAGGGACCTAACCACTCTTTGTCAAGTTTCCTGGACCGCTGCTTCTCCAAGAACGAGTCATACAGGAGTACGGTGTCTCCAACTGCCAAGGGTACCTTTCATACTCGCGCCAACTGGTCCCAACGAGCCTTATTCTCCATACGGCCCCTTTCCACTTGGTTGGACGCCTCCTGAATTCTTTCCTCTACCGTGCCTACCTGTCGTGCTCGAACATCGAGCAATTCCTCGAAAGACAAGTTGACCTCTAAATCTTGACGCCTCCAAGTCTTTAGGAAGCTCTCAATTTGTAAGGTAGCGTGTCTCCCATACCATAGCGTGGCCGGTGCGTATTCGGTGGTCCTTTTCACCGTAATATTCTCGACAAAGAACGCCGCCCTCAAGTATCTTGCCCACCGATTAGGCCTACCTTCAGTCCACTTAGCCAGAAGGTTTGTAATGGTGCTATGTCCTCCCTCCACTGGAGCGTTTGCTTGGGGGTGCGCGGTCGTGGTGTAATTGACTACCACGCCGTACCTTGATAACAACTCTTGCACCTCCTGGTAGGTAAACTCCGACCCTCTATCCGTTATGAACTCTCTGACAAAGGGATAACGCAAGTAATACTCCTCGATGAAGCTTACCAAGACTGACCCGGTCTTCGTACATATGGCCCGTCCGTCTACAAAGCCAGAAAGGTTATCACGTGCATCAAAGATATAGTTGTAGCCATGATCCCCAAGTGGCATGAAAAGAAAGTCGAGATATACTACGGCCCTCACTTCCCTTTCTAGCCTTGGATGCAGTGGCTCTCCTGGCCTCAGAGGAGATCGTTCTTGACAAGGTACGCAGGAACGACAGAACTTGCTAACCATCTTCATCATCTCATCCCAATAATATAACTCGCTTATCTTGACATATGTGACACTAACCCCTCGATGTCCTCCCGCAATGTCATCATGAAGCGCAGCTATAACATCAATCTGATGGTTTCTGCCACATACGACCCTCCTGGGATTTCCCACTTGCCTCTTTACAAAAAAATTGCCATCTCTTACCAAGTAGAGATGACTCATCTTCTGGGCACTTTCACTTGCATCCCTACCCACATTTCGCACGATAGGAGAAGTCCCAGCTCTAGGTTGATTCCGTCATATTCCTCTGCACGGAATGCCTCTTCGATCTTCCCCTCCTCAAACTCGTCATCCTGGCTCTCTGGCACCACATCCTCATTCTCAGTCGGATTCAACGAGCCTATCTGATCAAAGTTTCCCTGCAGAAGCGTATTGACGAGGAGATATATCTCTCTCATCAATTCCTCGTGCCTCTCTACCCGATCTGGTCCTTCCTCTATTGTTCTCACCTTCTCCACCAGACTATGCGTGTCTGCCAGCACCAATTTCATCATCCACTGGACATCTTTGCTGCCCGATGGATCTTTCTCTTCGAAAGGCTTGAGCACCAGCTCTGTTTTCTGTTCATACTCGTTTAGCGCATGCCAGATGGGATGACCAACGTAGCTAGGTACTCACGGGGACCACTCATTAATGTGAAGGCGGATGTCCTCTTCCTGATCCAGAAAACCATCAACTGGGGGTGTGTTCTCTACTGTCTCCCCCTCTTGTTTATTCCAGTTGATACGGTTCAGCCCGTCTGCCCTGTTCTTGTTCCTAGGAATCCATTCCAACTCAAAATTGAACATCCAGATGTACGTCAACCATCTAGCAACAGTCGGATCCGATCTGGTCCTTCCTCTGTTGTTCTCACCTTCTCCACCAGACTATGTGTGCATGCCAGCGCCAATTTCATCATCCACTGGAAATCTTTGTTGCCCCATGGATCTACCTCTTCGAAAGGCTTGAGCACCAGCTCTGCTTTCTGATCATATCCGTTTAGCGCATGCCAGATGAGATTACTAACGCAACCAGGTACTCGTGGGGACCACTCATTAATGTGAAGGCGGATGTCCTCTTCCTGATCCAGAAAACCATCAACTGGGGGCGTGTTCTCTACTGTCTCCCCCTTTTGCTTATTCCAGTCGATACGGTTCAGCCCGTCCGCCCTATTCTTGTTCCCAGGAATCCGTTCCAACTCAAAATTGAACATCCAGATGTACGTTGGCCATCTAGCAACAGTTGGATCCGATGGAACGTAATTCCTCAGGGAATAAGCTAGTGCAGTCGGGTCCACTCTCAATATGAATCTTCTGCCAAAGATATAGTTTCGAGAAATTCGCAGGCAGTGAACGGCGGCGAGAGTCTCGCTCTTGAACTAAGAGTAGTTTCTCTCAGTGATATAGAGAGTTCGGCTCTCGAATTGCAGCGGTCTCTCCTTCCCTTCCGTATCTGCCTAAATCAAAACTCCACCCAAGGCAGTCGGCCCAACATCCGTTTCAACAATGACTGGTCTTGTTTCCGTGGCATTATAGTCGAGCGATCCCAATACCAATCCCCTTCTCGGAATTCTTCCTTCATTTCTGCCACCACTCTCTCCTGCTCTTCACCCCAAATCCATTCCTAATCCTGACGAACCAACTTTCTCAAATGCTCAATCTTGGCGGCGAAGTTCTTGACTAAAGTCCTTCAAAACCCACAAGTGCCGAGGAAGCTTTTAACATCAGTTATTAAGTGAAATGGTACTGGCCACTCAATAATTTTGTTAGTCTTCTTTACATCTAGCCGATGGTCCTTTTCACTACAGACGAACCCCAAGATAGTAGCTTCCCTCATGCAATGTCTGGATTTGGCCCCACTTGCAGTGAGGTTATGCTCTTCAAGTAGGTTCAAGACTTTATCAAGGTCTTGAATATGTTTCCAGACAAAGCGCCAAGTCATCAATATATTGTTGTGTGATATGCGGGATGACAGACTGCATGGCTCGTATCATAGCTCGCTGAACCATTGCTACTGCATTGATCCATCCTTGTGGAGCCACATTCATATGAATCAGTCCTCGAGGCGTATGCATTGCCGTTACCGGCCTGTCTGGCGGATAGACCGGAAACTGGTTATATCTGGAGTAAAGGTCTATGAGCGAAATTATAGGCATTCCAGCACAGGATTCTGACAGCGCATCCGCACTTGGCAATCCTCCCGCATCTCGCACAGTCACCGCATTCAGCCACTACAGATCTTGCACCCATCGCAGTGTCCTAATTGGGTTTGATGAAACAAAACTATGGGGATGCGTATGACCCACTTGAGCAATCGGCGATATGCGTACGTATCTTGTCGTCGAGGCAATCTACCACTTTTTTCTCTTCGTCAGGATTAGGATATCGTGCCCCTCTCAGGTTTCATGGCTCATGCGGCACGTATGGATGCGGTTCAAAGGAATCTTGTCCACATTCAACCTGTCGCGCTCCTCATCGCTAAACGCATAGGCGGGATGCCTCTTTTTCATTAATTCTACCATTAATGCTCTTTCATGGGGCAGTAGGAAGCCAGACTCCCCTATTATCAACTTCCCTTCGTTCCCTTCGTTGATGCGGTACGGCCCTGCTGTGGCGTTCTCCTTCATCTGCCGTATCAACCCTCGCTCCCGCTCGTAGTATACCTCCTCATCTTCGGTAACGAGGACGGCAACTGGGCGACACTTTTTATCTATCGTTATGTACCGCCTTTGGGAACGTGCTTGAACCGTCCCCTAAAAAAGGCCGACGTTCAGCCTGTGCTTGCATTGACGCCGGGTTCCTCCTCCCACCTTGAAGCCGATATACCAATTTCAACTCCCCAGCCTGGGGGCATTCCAGGACCTGTTCCCTCAGTGCCAGGATGGCGTCTGGATCCGCCATCTCGTGTGTGGCCACTATGTCCATGGCCTTATTCACGTCCGATAAACTGAGGGAAAATGCCTCAACTTTTTCTTCCTCCTCTGGTTCCATAAGGAGCCTCTGACGCTCGTCCTCTGACTCCTCGATCGTGAATGAGTCAGTATTGGGCCGGTTCCTTATGCTTCGCGGCCCTGTATTCCTGCAGGTGATCACCTCATAATTTCCGCAGGCAGGGTCACACATAATTAGGATCAGAGTTCCGTCATGCTTATTGAACATCAGCGTCTCTGTCCTGCACAAAAATGATCTTCTCATAAAAATTTCATGGTCTACGTTGGGCATAACGAAGAAGCAAGCTCCGACTTTTACTCTTCCAACCTCGATAAGTACATTCGAGGCTGTCCCGCAAAACAATGCCTTGCAATTGGCTCCATGCAGGATGCCGCAATCAGAGCGGTCTATCTCGAATCCAAATCTAAGCGCGTCAGCTTCACGGATGATATTTATCTCCGCTCCCGTATCCACCATCGCTGCGCACTTGGAGCCCTTTACGACCAAATCCACCATGTCACAGGCTACACACTTCCAATCCATTTTTGTCGCTGTCTCTGCCCACTCCGCCTCTTTCGGCAGAATCATACTCAAATGGACGTTGGGCACCAGGCGCCGCGACAATCTCCCTTTTAGTCCATCACGAAGCTTAGGGGTTGACGCCTATGTGTCCGAAATCGGATTCAACGGGGTTTTTGAGTTGAACGGTTCAATTCCTGTTCAACTCCGCGTTAAACCGAGTTGAACGTGGTACAACTCGGCCCGCAGATTTTGTTTTTGCAGGCAAAACATAAGTGAAAAAAAAATAA